TGCGGGGTTTCTTCTTTTTTTTTTTTTTTTTTTTTGGATTTTTTTTTTTTATTTAATGAATTTGGCTCAGTGTCACAAAACTGAGGCGAAACCCGAAACCCTTCTGTTTCAGTGCTTTTTGACTGTTCTTGGAACATCTGGCACAGCTGTTATTTTGACCCCAAGGCAGGAGTACAACCTCACTCCTGTTCCTATTACAATCGAAGCTGACACCAAATATGCCAACGCGAACGGGGCTGCGCAGCCCAAACTGAGCTGTCAGCTCCCGCTCGGAAGAAATCGGAACTCAGGGATGGGGCGAGGAACCAGAGGGGTCCCGTTGGCACCGGCAGAGCTGTCAAACCTACGCAAAAAAAAAAAGACAGGAACGAGGTAAAGCAGCGGGCACTGTTTCTGGAGCCCCGCTAAAGAAGAGGCTACTTCTGGTTTCCTTTAAATTGCTTCCTTATTGACTTTTAAATTTAGCCACCCATAAACTCGAATGAACGCCCACAGGACGAGGGCTTTTTGCACCTCCGCTTAAATGAGATTTGTAACTGGTTCATCCAAATGGGAACTTCTGTACGTGGCCGGGTCTATGGATCTGATCGAGCTGCGTTTCCTTGCCCGGCACCACAGGGACGAGAGTATTTTTCCTTCGACAGAAAAGACCGTGGGGATAGCTAAGAGAATCAAACATGCTCCAGATCCAGAAGAAGCTATCTCCTCCCCGATCAGTAACACCTGATATCTAAACCTTTCGACTTACTTGAAGCTGCAGGAACTTGTAACTTTTTATCTATAAATCTTCTTTCTCCCTGAACCTTCCCAATTTCCTTTCAGCTCTAAGATTTAATACTGCTGCTTCTACTTTCATCCCTTAAATACTCAGAGCCTTAAATTGTCTCTGGTATACAGGATAATCAGTTCTGTAGTGTGTTAATCCTCATTATGTGCCTATTAAAATGAAGATTAAATCAAGCATTAGGGTGCCTCCTCCCGTTATGAAATCTGAAAAAAGGATTGAAGGGGGGGAGGGAGGAAAACCATCAAACACCTAAAAAATTGTTTCCTGAGCTTCACTGGGAAGCAATGAAAGCAAGGCTACGCCGAAGTCGGAGGTACGAACGCATGACTTTATTATTGTGCAAGTGAGGGGAAGATAAGGAATGCAGGGTATGGGGAATAAGGTTTGAGGCACAGGGAGGGTATTTGCATGTGCCTACGTGAGGGGTAGTGTGTTTGTTCACGGGTTCGGTGTTTTCGCACGCGTGCTTTGGCAGGCAAGAGGCGATGCCTCCCATCGGCACGCACGCAGGTACGTCCGCTTTGCCTTTCTGGGGGGCTGAGGGCAGGTGCGGTGCTGACCCCCCCTGCGCCAAGGCTCGGTGCCAGCCCCCGTCCTACGTGATGTCCCCCCCCAAAAAATGCCCCTTCCCTTCTTCCACCCTGGGCACACTGCTGAACGGATGGGAAAATATCTTCTCTTAAAGGGCAGAAGGGCAGGTGA